TTCTTCTGTTAGATGAACACTCTTACAAACAGAAAAAGGGAATTTTATGAACAGACCATATAAAACATTAGACAATGTCAGAGGCTTCTAGCTGTGCTACCCCCATCCCCTAGAATACAGTACTGAAGATGACCATCAACCTTTGTTATCCCACTCCACTCTGTTCACATTTAAACTCCCATTTTCTCTAAGTAGTCTATTCACCAAAAGGAATTAGAAAGCAAAGGCCGCTCTGCACTGGGTCTTTCAGAAAAGAGCTTGGGGAAATGCTTCACAGATGATTTAAAACCAGAACAGCCAGTCTTTGGTCAGAGCAATGAGGTGGCATTTTGATGCAAAACTTCGTGTGGTCAGCAATCTCTGTAATTAGTACTTTCTGGATACGAGATGGATTTTTAAAGATGTGGGTAACAATGAATGGGGGGGGGAGGGGGAGGAGGAGGAAAAAAGGCCAGAGTATGATTTTCTTAATGACACCAAAACAGCTATTTAAATATGTTTTTACAACTACTACAAAGAACATAACATCCAAAATCTATTGACAGTATTAAATTAAGCTTTCAGTCATCACTATTATCACCACCAAGGTCACTGGACCAGACAAATATCCCTGTTCTCCGGAACACGTGCCTTAGGTTGCAAAAACTAAGGTGACTACCATAAAGACTTAGAGCACTGTTGTTGAACCAGCACAGTGCTCTGTATTATGTGATAAAGGCAAAAGTGTAAGTGAGATTTCATTTATATAGTTAATAGTTATATGCTTGTTTGACTAGTTTGTGGGACAACATTCTTTTAAATCTACATAGTACATATTTCCTGAAAACCAGAATACTGATACTACCTTAGTCTCAACTATGAAGAAAAGGTCAACTAAGACTACTGAAGAAGGCACATAGACTTTGGTCCTGTTTTGTTTTTCTCCCTTTAAAACTCCCGCCAAATGAACATTTCAGTAATTTACTATTTTTAAACCATCCACAAGTAGCTGAATTAGGATTTGCTCTGAAAAAAGACTGCGAATACTTATAGCTAACACATGTCTTTAGAAGATAGCTGAGTTACACTTTAAAATTATGTGCATTCTAAATTGTATTTGTTTTAGCACAACAGAATATTTTAAGTCTGACAGTTTTATTTGCATTAATAACAGATCAAGACAAAGGAAAGGCTGAGACAAATGTTTTACTTCTAATCATGCTTTTTGGTTTGAAAATACCAGTACACATTAGGTTTACTAAGAATAAGCTGAGAGTATGCAAACTGAGGGTTCAAAGAGAACTCAGACACAAAAGATTACTCTTGGAGTTTGCCATTTTTTGTTCAAATACATTTAATGAGAACAGAGAAATGGCATAATAAATTACTCAAATATAAATGTTGCTGCCTGATGACATGAGACTTCAAATGTTTCTGACACTGGAGAGAGGTTCCTAAGAGCTAAAAAAAATTGGGGGGGGGGACAGAGTCTTACATTGCAAGGTTGGCTTGGAACTTGTTCTGTAGTCCAGGCTAGGTTTAAAACCAGGATCTTAGTCAGGTGTGGTAGTGCATGCCTTCAGTCCCAGCACTTGGGAGGTAGAGGCAGGCAGATCTCTGTGAGAATGAGGCTAGACTGATCTACATAGCAAGTTCCAGGTCAGCTGGGGCTATAGGGAGACCCTGTCTCAAAAACACCAGAAAACTAAAAACAAAAAAAAACCCCACACACCACCACAATCTTTAGCCTCCCTGGCACTAGGATTACAGCTGTGTGCTATCATGCCTGGCTCATAAGAGCTAATTCCTAAGCTGCAACAGAACCAAAATCATCATAGCAAGTAGAACAGATGGATTGTTCCTATAAGGAACTAAGCAGGCAGAAACTGACCCTAAAGATAGTTCAAACATTACCACAAATAGTTGATTATAGTATTTAATCTTAAAGACTTTAAGACATTATATAGGAGCTACTAATTGTCAATTAAGATAATGCAGGATTTTTCTTTTTATCTGTCACAAACACATTTTACTGGTATGTAAGTTATCCAAATCTTGAAGTAAAACTCAGCATACAATGCTACTATTAAATGTGTACTGCTGTTTTAAAAAAAAAAGTCTGAATATATATATTTTGTGTAAATGTCAAGATACCTTGAAAAGTGATGTGACAATACTCTTTAAAATAAAGCAAATAAACTTAGCAAGATATTATTCATAGGTTAACAGTGAAAATAAACTACTGCTTAGGAGATATTTAAAAATGCATGCCAAAATAAAAAAACAGATCTACTTTTTCCACCACCCTGATATTTCAAAATATTTCTCTACAAAAACTATGCCAACACAAATACTGTAGACCTCTATAATTCAAACAGCAAAGAGCTCAATATGGACAACATCCATATACTACAGCTAATTTTAGACACAATCTGATGGCTTCTAACATGCTCTTTTAAAACAAGAATATCCTACTTCTTCAAATCTCAATTTTGTTAATTTTGTCAATAAATTAAAATGCATGTAATGGTGCATATGTATATACAACATTGAAAGAGTATATGTATGTATGTATATACACTTATTTATATACACACACACACACACACACACACGCACGCACACATATCTACACAAAATCCCTGAAAAGGATTCAAATGTTCTCTCTCAGACTTAAAGGCCATCCCTACTTCAAAATTACATTCAACATCACAACAATGTCCCTTCTGCTATCAGTAATTTTTGCTACACTTATGCTGGATGTTAAGAATGTCATGAATTAATAAATTACATAGTGATTCCCAACTCAAAACAAATGAAGCAATCCAACATAAAATGTCACTGAAAATTAATATAGTGCCTGTGTGAAAAGAAAGAAAAGGTAATTTGGAGAGATTGCTCCGTTTTTTTTTCTTCCTTCCCTACTCAGTGTTCAGGTAAAAATAAACCTCAAATGTTAGTGGGAAAACACCCAACTAGAAAATTACCATACCCATCTATTCAGCCATCACTAAGTCAATCAAGTTTTAAGATCTCAACCTAGTGTTCTCCTTCCTGCTCTACCAACTGCCCTCAGTGTTGAGTGAAAGCTGATTTTCACATAACCTATCTCCTCCAGCCTCTGTTTTTCAGTAAAATTTCTTAAAAAAAAAAAAAAAAAAAAAATCTCCCTATGTTCAAATTAATGGCTGAAAGCAAAATACTGAGATCCTCTTAAAGCTGAGATGAGCCCCTTGGAGAATAGTAAAAGTGTGACGGGGTGGACAAAACTGATCCCTTCGACAAATTCTGTTTTTTAAAAAAACTAATCCAGCATTGAAGAATAATTAATAAAAGCAGTTTCATATTAAAAAGTAACAATTTATTGGGCATGGTGGTGCACGCCTTTAATCCCAGCACTCGGGAGGCAGAGGCAGGTGGACTGTTGTGAGTTCAAGGCCAGCCTGGTCTACATAGTGAGTTCAGGTCAGCTGGGACTACAGGGAGACCCTGTCTCAAAAAGAAAAAAAAAAAAAAAAAAAAAAAAGTTAACATGATATAATCACTGAAGCAACATTAACACATATTTTTTACATTCAACCAAACAAGTGAGAGGGACAGAGTATAAAAAATAATCCACTTTCTCATACTCCAAATATGTGGGCATTCAGCAATGAAGTTCCATTAACAAAGAAAATCAAGTTCTCATTGAGTACTGAGAAAGAATCAAGTAATCCTGAGACAAATTCTAATGGGCAATAAAGATCAGACAAAACACAGAAACTGAGATTGCAAGTCTATAGCTCCAAATTTGTTTGACAACAGGCAGTAATTACTACCAGTCATAATATAAAGAGGCCTGAAAGTGTGCAGAGTTATTCCCAAAACTGTTCACCATTAGCTACCCCGTCATCACTACACCAAAGCACCAAAATTTTGAATAAAAACTATTACTTACTGAAAATCACTTAAAACTGCAATGAAAAAAAAACTTTAAAATCCTTACCAAAAGGGAAAGAAATAACAAAACACTCACCAAGCCCACAATTTATCTTTCAAGATATTTAGATAAAACTCTAACCTATTTTATCTTAAGCACATAATAAGGCACATAAGAAATTAAGTAAATACACAGTAATTCTGAATAAGTATTAAGAGATTATAGTGGTACAAAAAACCCTTGAGATTAAATTTTTTTTCTAAAAGAAGACTTTACCAAAAATAACTTTTAAAAAATCTGTCAAACCATATGATAGACCTGAATATTTTCCTTACGACTGTAAACTTTTTTCTGAAAACAATTATAAAAAAGTAGTTTATAAGTAAGATTATTTTCTTTTAAAATTTTCTGAGATATTGTTACTTGACAAATAACTGTCATTTTGAAATTTAAAACATGATTTTTCTGTTAAAATTACTAATTACTCTGACATTGTAATAGATCCAGGTTGGATTCCACTTTAACTCCCTGGGGACAATTACAACACTTCATTTTTCCAAATAAGTCTTAAAAAGGAAAGATACATATTATTCAAAGGCGTGTCATTCAGTGAAAAAAAGAAATCATTGAAAGAAAGCATGCAGGTTTATAAATCTGTCTCCAGTACAACTCCATGTGGTTATGTATAGTAATTATCAACAGATGGCAAATATTTGATATAATTTATAAATGAATATAATTTCCTACATGGAAATGTCTTAATTATGTTAAAAACTTGGTTGTTATTTAAATTACAACAAATAATTGTAAAAGTCCATACGTTTAAATTTCTCAAAGTACAAAGGAGTTTATAAATGTCATATAAGGCTGATCTGGACCCAAACTTATTAAAAGCTTGTCCTTTTGAAATCTAATTCAGGGAATTAAATTATGAAAAAATATTTTCCTGGTCTTTTTTGTTCTGAAAGTTATTTTCATAGAAACCACAGTACAAAGGAAAAGCAAACCTTTGATCATATACTGGGGGGAAGAGAGAGAGAGAGAGAGAGAGAGAGAGAGAGAGAGAGAGAGA